CAGCGTGCGGCTGTGAAATGTTTCCTGCCTGGGAAAAGTGCCGCAGAAACTGCTGTGATGTTGAACACAGCTGACAAGGACCGCGCTGTGGGAAAAGCATACAAGTGGTTTCTCATTTCAAAAAAAGGTGACGTGTTGACTGATGACAAAGCTCGAAGATGTTGACAAAGTTCATGCACTATTGCTCGAAGACCGATGATGGCCATGGAAGAGATGGGCAAGTTGTCTGGACTGTCTTGGAGCTCAGACCAGGAAGTGTTAAAGGAAGATTTGGGAACGAGAAGGGTTGCTGCGAAATTCGTGCCTTGGGTTCTGACTGACCAGGAGAAAGAGCGTGGCGTGGAAACATGGTTACAAAGCCAAACCTGATACAATACTTTCTCAAAATGATCTAGAATTCCCATCTATGGATGCTGGTGGGCTTTTTCTGAGGGGCGTGAATTTCTGAAGCATGAGTAGGTAGGTGCCTTGTCCTTTCGAGTCGGAATGCCCCAGCCAAAAGAAGCTCGAACACCCCAAGTTCTGATGACAGTGCAGGTCAACGTCAGCTTCCTCTGTTGCCATAGATTCTCAAGAAAGGAAACATCTTTTGGGGGTCATTTGCCAATGGCATTCTTGGTCATGGTGACAAGGGTAGGCATCTCATAAGTCAGTAGACACCAGGGACAGGGCACAGGACCAACCCTCCCTCCCCAAGAAAGAACTGCCCGTTTCCAACCACCACCAGTGCTAAGGTTGAGAGAGCCCATCAAAGGGTATGATCTGAAAGAGCCCACACATGGTTGTCCCCACAACCCCTTGAGCAGCTAATGACAACATGAGCCAGAGTGAGTGCTTTTACTGCAGCACCCACTTGTACAACGCTGCGGTAATTATAATGTCTAGTGGCCTCGAGTTTAAGTCCTCCTCTTGGTCCGGTTTGGCTCATGAAGTGACTCTACCGGCTCATGTATTTGTTCACAATAGGAAGAGTCGTCCTTGCCGGGTTTCAGAAATCACGGCCATCGCTGGGGGTTGGTTGGTGCTGGGCTCTAGTTTAGCCGGACCAAATTAGTTTCCCCCAAAGCATAAAACACCGCGAACCGGCGCGTGCGGAACCATCCAGGGAGATTGGTGCTCACAGCTCTCAAATGATCTGTGTGGTTTCCAGAGTCAGATCCTCTCTTAACTTAACCAATGTCATAGTTTACCTGTAATGCCCTCCTTTTGTTGTCGTTGTTTTAAAGAACGCAATTGCTCCCCATAGGAGTTTTGATGGATGACGCCACATTAAGGTTCCACGATGTGGTCCCCGGTGGGATTGTTTCATTGTGTATCTGGCATTATGATGGATGGACGGAGCTGGTTTTGGCGTCGGTGGAAGGGGACCCCAGTAAGGTGCTTGTAAGCTTCTTTAAATGGGTACTAGACGTGTGCTTTATGGCCTACCTGTGCATTGTGGGGAGGCAGCATTGCTTGGGCCGTGATGGGACCGCCGGTGCAAACAGAGGTCTCTGAGGGGGGGGGGGGGGGGGGGGGAGGGGGCTCCAGCCTGATGGGGTCTGCGTCCCCGTGGCGGCTTTCCTGTGCTTCCTTACGGCTCGCCGGCCCCTCAGAGGGGCCCGCTGGTTGACTCTAATGTTGAAAACCCAAGGTAACTCGCAGGGAAGAGCTGCCTGGGCACTGAGCTTTGCCCGGGCTTGGTGTGGGGCGCTGCACAGCGTAAAGAAGGGAACCCCGCTGGAGAGGCACTGCCAGGCCTTGAGTTTGGCTCTCGGCTGGGCTCTGGGGCTGGGGGTGGGGTGGGGGACGAGGGTGGTGGTGATGAGAAACCGTAGCTGAGGGTGTGACCCTCGGACAAGAGGTGGTGGGTGTCTGTTCCCTCTGGAAAGGGTTAGCATGAAGAGCTTGCAGAGACGAGGCGGTCGGGTCTGCTTCTGGCTGGGAAGAGGAGAAGGCAGGCTGCAACTGGGGTGTGCGGTTAGGTCTGGAAAGCGGGGGTGGCTGATGGGGGAGCAGGCCTGGGGTGGCTGCATCCATCTCCCTCAGCCCCCATGTTGGTATGTCTCAGGCCCCCGAAGAAGGGTGGGTCCTAAGTCAACTGCTGCTTCCCTTAACGCGGGCCCTGTCCTCTGGACACCCAGAGAAAGGCTCTTTTCTGCCTTCAAAAACGGCAACAGGATGACTCTCGTGCCTCCTGCCCGAGTCCCACGGGTGGCAAATTCACGGGTGTTTCCCAAACATGCCTGGAAGCATCACAGTGTCTGCCCCCAACCCTTCCCTGGGTACTTTCCAACCTTTCAGCAGGGTTTGCCCCTAGCAGTTCCCATCACCCGCCTGCATCGGGTATCCAAATGAACCTTCCCCCAGAAGGCCCCGCCACCATCCACCTAGCAAAAAACGTTTCTGTTCTTCCCAGGAGAGGCTGGATCTCACCGTGTGGTCCGTCCATTCCTCTCGCCCAGTTACGGTGTCTAGGGATCACCGAAGAGTCCTTCTACCGAACAGCTAACTCCGAGCACTTCACAGGCAAGCGGTGGAAGAGCTGGACGTCTCAAAGAGCCTTCGTGGCTTTGTACATTGCGTCCCACAGAGGCCACGTGGACACCGTGCAGTACCTCCTGGAGCACGGTAATTCTCAGGCCACGCCACGGTCACAGGTTGGGGGGGTCTGCTGGGGCAGGGAGCAGGGAGTGGCTTCTCTCTCCCCCTGGTCTGTCAGCCACCAACTGGGCACGCCTGTTGGGGTGTGTTTCTTAGGGTGTGCCCAGCTACAGGCTGTCCCCTACCCCCCACCCGCTACTCTCCGTATAGGCGGACAGGTGGATGTATCAGACAGAAGGGAGAGGAGGCAGCCAGAAAGGTGGCTTGGTCTTTCCTACCCAACAAGCCTCGGAGAACACCCCTGGTGGCTGGCCTCATTCCCAGTGCCATCTGGAGGTGAGGGGCTGCAAGGGTCCGACCGGCACCTGCCCCCAGCGGGCGAGGGCGCTCTGTGGGCGGAGGACAGACTGGCCGCGCTCCCGTGCCTACACATGGCACATGGGATGGTTTGTCTCTGGAGACAGCTACTCCCAAACCTCTTGGCCTGTCTGCTCCCCAGGAAGGCAGACGTCGCTCCTTGGAAGAAACCAAGCACCCCCACCTCCACCCCCACCTGCGCTGTCTCCAAATTGGTGGGTTGGGTTCAGCTAGGATCCCTGGTGTCGCAGGAAGTTCAGCAGCCAGCTCCCATTGGCCACCCCGTGCGAGGAGGACACACCCTGTGCTGCCGGGAAGGCTTGGGACCCCCATGAGGTGGCCCTGTAGGGTGACCGTGAGCCAGGATTGACCCACAGGCTCTGGGCCCTGGGGCGCTGTTCTTCCTCCTCCAGGAAGTAGTGCTTTTCTGGGGAGAAACAGGGCCACCGATTGAGATATGGACTAGCTATGAACCAACCCGTGGTTACAGACTGCCCACCCACCCGCTTCCCACAGAAAGGAAGAATGTGTTGCCTGGTGTTGGGGGTGGGGGTGTCTTATTCAAGGGTCTAGACCCCCTTGTTTGCCACCTGTGTGTGGCCTGGACTTCCACCTTATCTCCCAGTAGCCACGGTGGGGCGGCTCTGGGCCAACGTGTTGGGAGGAAGAGGGGGTCATATGCTGGCCGCGTCCTGCACCACTGTGGGGACCATACCCCCCCCACCCCCCGCCAACAGTAGCCTTCCTTTCACTTCCTCCCACGCCCCTCTGCGTCCCCGGGGCTGGAAGAGGAAATAGTGACCGGCCTTCCACAGCCCCACCGTCCATCCCTTCGGCTCATAAAAAAGTCCCTTCCACCCTGATGGAGCTGTGACGTCTTTGAATGGAGCCGTTAAAGAGATTACAGCCGGCCTTGAGAAGTTTTCTATCCTCTGTGGACAGCCGGCTGTGCCCAGGCGCCACCGCCAATGCCGATGTTATGAGGACTGGTTTTCAAACTTAGACCTCACGCGCCAGCCACAGCTCATAAAAGGGCCTCCCGAAAGGTCAGCCGGGTGTAATTGAATTGCCTTGTTTTCTGTGTCATGATATTTGTTACCCAGAGTTTGATTCAATCCAACAAGCCTGCCTTGGACACCTGTCACTAGCCTGTCCCCCCACAGCGGTGGTGAGGGATGCAATTGAAGCGTGCTCCGACCAGGACTCAGCCGCCACCGGCTGTCATTTCCCCGGTGACTGGCTGCTCTACGTGCCTGGGCTGGGATCAGGACCTGGGGATGGGTGTGGGTGGCGGGGAGGGGTCTTCTGTCCTCCGGGATAGGGGTGCGCAGTGTTTGAGGCTCAGCCAGCCAGGCAGGCTCCACATTTTCACGGTCACGCTCACGTTCAGGTGGCTCTGAAGGAGTTGGTGGGGGGGGGAGGTCTCTCGCCCCGGAGACCCGGTGGGGAGGATTAATAGCCCAGAAAACAAGGTGGGCAGAGAGAGGGTCAGAAACAGACAGACAGGGCCCGGGGCAGAATGGGGATCCCATGTACTGGAGGCAGACAGAGGAGGCTGGTGACTGGGGCATGGGGGTTGGGGGGACCCCAGGAGTGCCAGGGAGCAGGAAGGACCTGTGGACATTTTAGAAAGAGCCTTGCCTGCCGTCAGGGGACCAGAGTAAAGAGAACCACCCCCGACCCACCGGTCACTCTTGACGCAGACAGGGGCCGCCATGACGTCGGGGGGCCATTCTGACTCTCAGGGACCCCGTGGGACAGAGTGGGTGCCCCACAAGACCTCTGAGGCTGTAAATCTGTGGGGAAGCAGGCGGCCGCCTTCCTCCCACGGAGCGGCTTGGCCGATGGGCTGACGCTGCTGGCCTTTCAGTCTGACGCTGAGCACTTGACCGGCCCCGAGCTGTAGGGGCTGTGGTAAATGTCTGCATGTTTAGCCAGACATTTGCTGTGTGCCCAGTCTCTGCAGGTACAGCTCATGGGCAGGGAGTCAGCATATCATATGGTCACTGGTCGCCTCCCTCATTCCCAGGCGACACCATTGCCCTTCATGGAAGAGCAGTGTCCGTGGCCTGGTCAGGTCGGGGAGAAGCCTGAATTCCCCCCAAGTACGTCCCCTGGGGCTGCAGGGTCAGGAGGGGGATGCCCCTCAGCCCACTGCTCTGTCTTCCAGGCGCCAACCCTTTGAGCAAGACGCCCGTGGGCCGGACGCCCCTGCACGTGGCTGCAGCCATGGGCCGGCTGGACTGCATCAGTCTCCTGTTGGACGCGGGCTCCTCCATCAACACCAAAGACGCCAAAGGGGAGACCCCCATCAACATCGCCCACCGGCTAGGCCGCAGGCAGGGCGAGAGGCGCATGTACCTCATCCACTGGATGGCCAAGTCAGGGGCCAAGGGGTCGGTGGGTGGAGGGGCCAAGAAGGTCCATCGAGGCAAAGCCCTGTCGGCCACCAAGAAGCAGTCCAAAGCATAGTCCCTGTGGGAGTGCTTGTCTGGCTGCAGCGACACTGGCTCTGATCATCTCTTGAGCAGGCAAACATGCGGTGGGTCTGCGTCAGACACGCAGTGGCCTGCCCTGATGGCAGGACTCCAGGAGTTGGTGGTCTGGGCCGGTGTTCCGGTCTCTAGGGGTCTATCCCAAATCCAAACCAAACCCACCAGAGTCCCTTCTGGTGCACAGCGACCCCGCCCCACAGAGAGGAACTGCTGCCCAGACTGTCAATCTTGCCTGGAGCAGACAGCCTCGCCGCTACCTTGGAGCCACGGGTGGTGTCGAACTGCCCACCTTGTGAACAGCCAACAGGGCTCCTGGGGAGTCTGTTTAAGATATGGAGCACTCCCTGCCAGCAAGGCGATTCTGACACGGAGCTACTGGAGCCCTGGTGGTGTAGTGGCTTAGGTGCTAGGCTGCGAGCTGCAAGGTTAGCAGTTCGACACCACCAGCCACCCTATGGGAGGAAGATGAGGCTTGCTTCCCTTCAACACGGCCGGCCTTGGAAATGCACGGGGGCAGTTCTATTGTGTCTTTGGGCTCGGGATGAGTGTGAGGGTCACGAGGGCCCTTCATTCCGAGCTACGTCTGTGCCCGTCCCGCAGGGCTGCCTGAGCGATGCGGTCAGGTGCCCCTCCCTCCTGCAGGGACGCTAGCAGCCATGGCCAGGAGGGGCCATGGGCATCGGGAGCCATGTGCCTAAACCCCCACAGGATTCATTGTTTGGATAGCGCCTAGTGCTCCCGAAACTTCCCGAACCCCCGCTAAGGGGTGGGCTTCCTGATTTGGGGCGGTGACAATGCTTGCAGTTGGGGGCTCGTGAGGAGCAGTCGTTGGGGTTGCAAACATGCCGTTCCCCGAATGGGGGTGCCAGCGACCCCATGTGCTGGCCACACGGTGCCTTTCCAGACCTTAGAGCTTCCTCGCGCATGTTTCCCGTGCGCTGCGCACGGACTTGCCGGCGCGTTATTTAGGTGGGCGTGGCTGCCGGCACCCTCTTCCTTCTGCCCCAGGGCATGGTCCTCGGGCCACCCTTCTCCCTAGTGGGCCACGGCATCATTGGAGGCGCTGCACGTTTACAACAGGAGCCCTAGTGGCTCACTGGTTAAGCACTCAGCAGCCAACCGAAAGGCCGGCATTTCCAACCCACGAGCTCCCCAGAGGGTGAAAGGGTGGGCCGCTGCTTCTATACAAATGTACAGCCTTGGACACCCAATGGGGCGGCTCTGCTCTGGCCCCTGCGGTCACTGGACGTGGGTGCGGTGCAGATGACAGCGCTCGCACAGGGCCACGTGCAATGAGCTGGGGCAGGGGCCCCAAGGCCCTGGGTGCCTTGCCTGGAGGAGCTGCTGGCTCTTTCTAGAATGCCTGCTCTTTGAGTGATGCTAGGAGTTTTGAGGGAGGAGACAGGGGAAGGGGTGAGACAGGGGTGTGTTGCCCTGGGGCAGATGTGCCCACAGAGCCACTGCCACTCGGGCTGACCCGGCAGCCAGGACCTAGCTGTGTGCCTAGGGCTTTCAGGGCTGTGAACCCGGAGAAGCAGACCACTGGGCCCTCCTGCCGAGGCACTTGGGTGGGTTTGGACATCCTAATCTTTGGGTTGGAAGTCTAGCCTTTAGTCATTGGGGCCACCCAGGGGCTCCTGGGAAAAGTGGCGTCACCACTCGAAGACTCTGAAACGTTCCATGCTGGTCTTACCCACCCTTCCAACCTCCAAAGGCCAAGTGTGCATCCCTACAGCCTTGGGGTGTCCCTAACGCCACCCCCACAGTCCGTGTGTAGCATGATGAAAGGTGGCTACCCATACACCTTTGTCTCCAAGCTGGGTCTCTAACTGGGTACCATGTTCTGATTCACTGGCTGAGTTTCCTGCTGTCACAGCAAGTAGGGTGTATGTCCCTCAGGAGGCATGACACCCCGTCGGCTTGTCTGACAAACAGTCAGGATGGGGGGGGGTGGCATCCACTCTGCCCAGACGGGGGTCCTGTTTCTGGCAGATCTCCCCCAAATAAGTCAACAGGCAGATATCACATTGCCCTGCCCAATGGGCAGTCCATTTAGCTAATGGGCTATGCTGGTGGGGGGTGCTGTCCTGGACACCCTTTGGGCTCCACAAGTGGCCATGACTCAAAGTCACATACTTAGCTTTGCTAAGCTAATTTTTTGGTTCCGAGATGCCAACTGGCTGCCTATCCCCTCCCCAAGGCGCTGAGGGGCAAGCGCACCACATCGTGAGCCCCTCATTCAATTAAACACTTGGCCAGACGTCTGGGCAGGGCCAACACTCGGAGGTGACAACTGGCTTGTTGAGCAGATGAGTCACTTGAACCTTCTTGTTGGCCTCAGAGACTCAGCCCTGTCCAACACCCCGATCCATTATCTGAAACCAAAGTTGGATCACTGGTTTCAGAAAACCTGCCCAGAAGCTTCCAGAGTTGATTTACAGCCAGCCGCAACATAGAACATCACCTTTTTTTATTTCATTAAATGTCTTATTGATTTTGGAGTGTGTGGGTTTTTTTCATACTCTGTCGCCAGCGGGTGGCTGTGGTTGAGGGTGGGGTGAGGCGGGCCATGGAGGAGGAGTCTTATCTCCAGTATGTTGGCAAGTGGCAGGACCCCGACCCCCTCAATGGGACAACAACTCAGCCTCACATCTCCTTGGAAGGGGCACAGCTTCCCTGGTGGCCTATAATCACCACCTCCCACCCTTTCATCTGGGGGCCCCAGGAGAGGCTGTCTGCTCAACTAGGAGACCAGAGGGCTCCTGGTCTCATGGTGGAGACCCGGGGCTTGGGGCCAGGGTAAGACCTGAGACTGAATCTTGTCGGCTTTGCCCTTGCATGAGCCCCGCTGCTGCTCTGAGCAAAGATGGAAGATGGGTGACCATAGTCGTCATGGGGCGCTGGCTACTGGGATCCCCAAGCTGGACTGGGAACACTTGCTGAGTTTCTGAGTGAAAGGGGAGGCGTCTGAGAGAGACAGGGGAGGTGAGGAATGACCAGTGACCCCCCTGCCCCCGCCCCATCGTCTTTGAGTCCTGACACCAGCGAGGAAGCCATGGTGACCTACCTCTGTGAGCTCAGCAGCCCCAAGAAGAC